GGGGGGGGGGGGGGTGTAGGCAAAATTAAAAACTCCCTACCCACATGGTTTCTTCAAATCCTATTCAATTGAAAATATAAGCAATCCAAACCCGAACAACCTGGTTTTGATAACCTCACCTTCTTCCTAATACAGTTGTATAAATTGGCAATAGACATATCTCGAAAATTTTAGCCTGTAGTAAACTGTGCTCTGAATTTGGACTTTTGGAGAGACAATAGTAGTGAACAGAATGAAACATCATTGATAGAGTGGTTCGCTAAATGATGCAGAGGTTTCTCAATTGATACACAATAAAGCAAATGATGTGGTTCGGTCTGTGGGAAAACCGTCTATCAGAGATTTCTATCGCGTCTGCAGAAGCGCGGTTTCAAAATGACGTTTCGTGAAGAAGAAAAAACATAAATGCATTTCACGTTAAAAAGAGACGAAAAAAATAAGAAACTGGTCAAGGAAAATAGTTGACCTAAACGTTTTCAAATTGATAATTCTCGGTTCAATTGTCGGATAAACCAACATTTCTTGGAAGCAAACGATTGGTGTCAATCACCAGGTTCCTCTGCGCTCACTGAAGCCGTCGCTGTTAGCACTCACTGCCGCCCATAGTGTTCTATTTTCGAATACTTGGATAATTTCTTCGGGCCTTATTCAGTTGAAAAATACTCATGATGACTGAGCTGGAGACTAGCATATCATGATAAAATTAAAAATTATATCGAAATGCTGGAGGTCCATTCCATATTCTCGCTCAGTCATGCATGAATAGCAACATACCGAAATAAAATCGAAGGAGCGAACCTGCTATGGTGTAAGGTTGACTAGCATCAATAGCCCCATCCGTAACATTTTGAAGATTCATTCTTCCGTACGCATTATACGACTTATTGGTCATGGGCATTTGTTTCTCTGGCTTGGGATGATTTGATTACGCTTGAATTAGTGTGACCGTCTTGGATGTCTTGGACGGTGTGAGGCCATTTCAATCAGCCTCGACCGACAAATCATCTGAGCTGTTACGAAACATGTTTTCACTCTTCCCCTCCCCACCACACCATCCAGGGGTAACAGGGAAGTTGGGCGATTGACAGTGAGTGGTACTACGACATACCTGCTTGTTCGGGATTGTAGTGAAAAAGAACAGCGAGACTCATTTTAATGACTGATGTTCATGGAACTACGGATAAACAATGCTCCACTATGTTTTAATTAGCGTTTACGCCTCGGGAGCGTAAATGTCATACGGGAGAAGCGTTGCATAGTGTGTGTGTGTGTGTGTGGTATGGTACAACACCAGACACAGTATGACAGTAGAAATGACAGTCGAACTTCTACCAAATAGTTTGTGTGCGGAAGGAGTGGGTTTAATTGACGAATAGATTGTTTTGGCTTGATCTGAATCATTTTCATGATCAATAAAGCGCATAGCTGTTTACTAAAACGGAGTGATGAGGATGATAGTTTGATTTGCCAATTCGTTTGAATTTTCACCCTCAAGTTCTTGGTCAATTTTGTTATGAGTAACCTGCACGAACTAGTAGTACAAGCCCGTGTGTGTGTGTGTGTGTGTATGCGCAGGCACACAATATGTCGATGGAAATTCGAATCACGTGCATGTCTGATTTTGTACGCGAGTTATATCGGTCACTAAATCTAATCCTCCCTCTTTTCATTCTAGTCAGACTAATCATTCGTATGTATGGATCTAAGTAGGAAAAGCATATAGCAAGCATGAAGTTTAAACTAAACTCAATTCACTGGTGTGTTAATCGCATTCATAGTTGAACTTAAACTGGTCCACATCTGGATCTCTGTTTCTCCAAACACAAAGTGTATAAATTTACGACTAGCACAGATTCGCAGCAATTCGCTGTGTTTAGTGTGATGGTGATGATGATATTCTAGCCGTATTGTTCGAATCATCAGGTTCTTCGGGAGCGCGTAAACAGAAGAGTGCGTAATTTATCCCAGACCACCTTGTTTTGTGATAATTTCCTCATCGATCTGTGATGGTCGCATGTATGGTCAATTTAGTCGGCAGATTGTTCTTCGTCAAACACTCACAAATACACACTCACACGCACCATCCATCAGGCGCGTACAACGTCTCCGAGTTTGTGGGCACAGTGCCGCATCATGGCACTAATTACCGTGCCACAGAGACAACTGTACAGGGCGGTGTAAAACGAGGTTGGTGGTGGTGGTGGTGGTGGTGGTGGTGGTGGTGGTGAGGTAGGTGTAAATCTAATCAGAGGCGGAGTGGCGATGGTGGTGGGAGAGAATTGGTCACAGGAATTGTCTCTATTTGCAAGCAGCTTGGGGCGAGCATACATGAAACCAAATACGAGTACATGCGGGTAAGTCGCTCGCTCTCTCACTTATACATTTCAATGTATAGATGTCGCAGAAAAACTGATGTATATATATATATATATATTTATATACACAGGTTGATGTTTGACTGTGGAGTTGCATTTGGATTCTTGTGTTGCCTGACTGGTTGTTTGGCAGACTGGCCGATAGTGGGGTGGATAGATAGACGGAATAACTGGATTGTCGAAGAACAGCAATGAATGTATGAGTGTCCGGTAGCCATGTGAACCACGTGTTGGTCTTCACGCCAGACTTGGTTAGAATTCGTAACAATGTGACCAGAGCAGCCCAAAAAAATTCAGCTGTGTGACAGGAAAACCTAGAGAGGCTACATCGTCTGGCGCCGAATTGAACCAGTACCCACGAAACCAGGTTTCGAAATTGCTCAATATAACTTCCTGCTACTCACTGGTTTCATAATGAGGACTTTCAAAAAGTTGTATACCTAAGAATTCCGGGTAGTACGATACAAACAACGTGTGCACACCGGCAACAGCCAGCAACCCGTTGATGATTAAAACAGAGAAACATTTTATAACTATCAAATATTTTACTCGTGACACCTCCTTCTGAGACAAATCGACATCAAAATCATGCACTAGCTAGGATGGATGAAAAACAGTAGGCAATTAGTTTCAAGTTCCGATTGAATAAATAGAACAGAAGAGAATGTCCTGGTGGGTTACTTTTGGGAAGACGTGCGTCAGGAGCCTCTGTTTGTCCATGTGGTGGTTTTCAACACGCCACGGTAGAAGTGAACTTGGACTGTATGAGGTAGTGTAGACGCAAGGTTAGCTGTATTCAGCTCGGATAGCCCAAACGGTAACGTGTGTAAGAAGCGTTCGTAATCTTTCTAGTCTGTGTCTGATTTAGAACAGGCTCGCGGTGGACGATCCGTGACAAGGGCTTAGATGATCTATAGAGGTGTAAGAGACTTTCATTCCTATGTGATAAGCTAACTCGACAACTTCATGAGGGATGATAATTTGTGACAAAAACAGTCTGTAGTTTACATGGTAACAAAATGATAACTAAAAACAGTATATGTGGATAATGGATTTTGAAATAAGTTACCTGAGGAAGCAAAACCACTATGAATGGTGGCATGCATGCGATCGGAAACTGGACGTTTTCAAACAGACGCTTATGGAGAAGGGTGCATACGACTGTTTCTAGACGGTTTAGTTCATCTCTACTGTCGTACTCTTTCAGTTTAAAGATTCAAAGGTCCCCTAACACCTAGTACAACACTATCGTCCCTTTCTTCATAAGACCCATGTAATTTACCTTTCTAAATCAAAGAGTTTAATATCCCGGTTACCATGACAAACCACCAGGTCAATCTGATTATGGGCTTCATTGCGCAATGAAAGATGAGGAAGACATTCTATTATTTTCTCTGCCGTTAGAACTCAGGCAACTCCGATGCAACAATCAGTTTATGCTTAGTAACATTCCTAGTTGCTCAGTTCAACTGATTGAAATGGAGAAAAGCGAAGAAGGAGCACGATTTTTTTCCGACAAAACCTGATGTGTGATCAAATTGAATTAGGACAACTACAAAAACAACAAAGCACCAACGATAGAGTCGGTAATAAGGTATGTGAATCAAAAGACTAAAAACAATTGGCAACAACAGTAGCAGCAAGAACGAAAAATCACGGGAACAGAAGAAAACGAATAGGAAATAGAAAACTATGCTTGCCCATATCTCATCGATGTGCAGCTGATATTCAAAATGAAAAAAAAATAAATAAATAAATTTTCACCCGGAAAGAATCTCACTATCACCTGAACAGCGTTGTGTTTCGATTGTTGTCCTCATTAGTTGTTAGTGTTCAATCTGATGCATACTGTTTGCTATTGCACATCACTGTGTGACGTACAGTAAACGGGATCAGGAGACCCACTGTTGTTAACCAACATATACAGACCCCGGGGACCGGGAATGCTCGTACCAAGTAGAACCCCCCTTCCCTGTACGATCGATTTGATATTGAGGTGGACGACAGCTAAACTGCCGACCAAACTGTCTCGCGGTAGTGGAATCATTCGAACCCCAAGGTTTAGGATTCATTGGATGCCATTTAAAGCGACTTGAGTCACTTGGTCATCTTCCTCCTCGTTATCATCACCATCACCATCATCTGCACCACCCCCACAATCGCCACTGCCACCGACACCAAAACCAACTGAACGGAATCAGACAGTGAAGTGCAAATGATCTCATACCATGAGCAGACTGCGATCGGTTTTGCAAAGCTGTGTTGCGAAACTTCCAAGTCTATTTTGATTTCACCAGATCTCGAAACTTTGAAGGCCTCTTTTTACGAAAGATGCAGTACTTTAGATAACTTCAAGATTCTGACCCACCAAAAATAAGAAGCTAAACTTGTGACAGGATGTGGAGTGAAAAAACCCGGATAGCCAAATTGTGATTTTCAAGTCAGCCAGCTTACTCATTCACACCAACTACACAAGCAATATAGAACAAACCAAAATCTGGGTTAATCTTTTCCTTCTATATGGTTGCTTTGACATACGATTTTTAGAGTGAGTTTGTGATGTGGCGAAAATCAATGATATTTTCCTAGTGAAATTGTATAAAATGCAAGTGACGACGATTTCATAATAAAGTGCGGAAAAGTACAAATACATTTCGGTCATAAGTGCCACGAAGTTTTCGCGATCTGTGTACTGTTTTGTTTTGTCATTTTGTGATGCCCCCTCTCCAGCCCCCCCCCATAAAGTCAGTTGGGCAATCATTTGTGGCAGACTGTTCGGCGTGAACTAATTAATCAACAACCACGAAGGAAACCAATCCTCACCCGAGAAGAGTTTACTTGCAGATAATCTCTGAGCCGAAAGAACGCAGGAATAAGGCTTGAAAGTTTTCCACTAGGCATCAAGCGGAATGGTCTTTTTGAGTGAAACTCAGTATGGGGAACATGATATGTTTTCGGTAATTTAGCTTCTGTATTATAGGTATATTTTTCTGGTAAAAAGGAGGGCAGAGATAACATGTACAAAGCAATAAACTGTTTCCGTTATGGGTTCTTGTTAGGAACAATATTTGCCAGAAAACTGAAGACAGATCTCGGATTAGCAGTTCAAACAAGAGATGTGAAGCGGATAGTTGCAAAAAACTTCTGCAATATTAGTGGCATTATACCAGAAAGAGAGAAATCGTATCTTTTGGGCTACATGTCAACAAATGATAGGTTGTGGTTTACGATGCATTTTCTACATCTGGTTTGGCTAGCTACTCACATTGACCGTCACCAAAACAGGTAGCGATCTGTACAAAGACGCTGTGAAATTTATTTTTCCGTTGTTCACGACGAAGGGGTTTGAGGTAATACCCTTTTAGCACGAAAATGCAGTCGTGCACACGTCATGCACCACTGAGAAATAGCCAAATAACAATTGCGTGGAGTTCAAGCTCCACTTGTAGTCCTGATCTCCATCGAGTGGAGAACCTCTGGGAATTTTCGATCAGAGAATGTTCTTCGAAATGATAAGGTCTAAAGTTCAACCAAAGACCAAATTGAGAGGACCCTGAGAAAAAACACGAGCACCGCGGTTTGCCATGCACTGGTCGACAATAAGCAGAAAAAGGTGTATTTAGGTATTAAAGCAAAAAGTACAAGATAACCTCTACTCAGATCCTACAATTTCTAACATATTGTTTACGTTTATTTGCGAATCACAGTTATATACCGATACGTACGCGTTTCTCCATTCGTTCCTATTAATCACCCAATTATATGATTCAGTTGTCCATGACAAACACTGGTCAATACTCTTCCAGATTGTTTGTCCGTGAACCATCTTGACCCGGTTTTAGACCGTCGTTTGATCGATTGATGTATTCTCACAAAACACTCATCAGATTGCCTTTCTGACTCCGATCAGTACGGTGTCTTGTGCCGTCTGATTTGCCGTGCTAGGTTATGAGCTGATAACAATACTGTGCATTTGCATTGTGATCGGGATTAGGTCATATTGCATTACCTAATTAGATGTCAAATTTTCCCCAGCTTCTGATTGGTTATGGCTTCGACAATCATCACAAAAGAAATGGCCATTTTTAAGTCCTCGATGTCGAAACCGGACTGGTAAATTAGTGTCCATATAATTTTGACGCGTACTGTTTATTATTGCGTTCATTGAATATTCACCAGAATTGAGTAATGAGTCAACATGTTAATTGGGATATTTGATATTCACCGTCGTACTGTGCTTTTTACAGTTTCATGCCTCTTAGATAGAAACCCATCTGGGCATGATGTTTCACGTTCAGAACAAAGAAAGTTTACCCGACGGTCACAGTCTACACGGATTTCATATTCTCGAGAAGTATTTAGATAACAATAGCTACCCAGAGAAGTTTCTCGATCAAACCGGAACCAAAAGGTAACCCTACTATAATCTCTCCGCGCGCAGAAAAACACATTGTATATGCAGGTTTCATTTAAGGGAGAACTTGCAGGCTGTTTTCTGCTCCAGTAAAATCCAGATTCACTGCTGTTAGGATTCACTATTGTTCCTCTGTGTCACTCGTCATGAGATAGTGTAATAAGGGCAAAACTGACATCATGGACCTTTTCAATGATTGCTTAGCAATTTTTAAATGCATTAGAGTACAGAGCTACTTGCTTAGATCAAACCACAGAAGAATAGAAGAAAATGGATCAAGGAACACCATCCTAGGGTGTTGACATGCAGACGATGGGGTCATCCAAAATCCTACTGTAGTTAACCCAGAGGTTGGGGTATTGTCGATAAACGACAATTCAGCTTTTCAACAGACTACAGTTCAGGTCCCGTTCTATTTTGAACATTGGACAACAGCTGAACTCCTCACGGTTTATTTATTGAAACCTGATTTACGTTCTCAGTGCAAATTTGTCAAGGTACTGCATCTTTCATGGGCAAGGAACGAGTATGTCATACACATGTACAATCACGATGCAGATCCATGATATATTACGTAACCCAGTGACTGTGTAAACTGTGACCTTTGTTCCAATAGGTTGGTCCTCCCGCTGGGCTCTTGTGTTTCTATACCCCCATGCTTACATCGACTCGATTGTGACACGTCTCACAGTTTTGTTTGCACCGTATATCGATCACTGTACTGGACTAAAAATGAATGCCTCCAAAACACGCATTGTCCTCGAATTCCGGTTTCGAATAAAATTTAACTCTAAAGTGTTTAGAAATGTGCTTCCAATACTGGTCCTAAACAGGGCATCCTTGTAATTGATTCTGTGCTTCGAAATTATTTACAACAAATTCACTGTATGCCTGACAGGAAAGACAATTTTGTTTAAATCAATTACGATATTCACGAGAACCACCCCCTCCCCTCAAATGCTAACCCATAACCTATTCCACTGAAGTGGAATGAGTTCTGCACTCTTACATTTTGAATCAGAAATCATTTCTACTGCAAAACAGCACTTTGTTAAGCTCAAGTTCTGTGTTGTGTTTGTCCTTTTCAGCTTCATGATATTCCGTGCCAGTCTGCCTGTCTCAGTGTGGTTGCTGCTTGCCAAAGACAGCTACCGCATACCGGCTGTCAGTCCGCATACTCGTCAAGTAACCGGAATGTGCTATGGCCAATTGGCTCCGGAAGTTATTTGAATCAGATCGGCGCTTCACAATCCTACCTGTACCCGTACGGCAGCAATGTGTTTTCTCCGCCATATAATCGATATTCCAGTACAATCGGATCACGTCTTACTCGACGCATGGGACGAGAGTCCTACTCAAATCGATTACCCTATCACCAACGCTATTTGCACACAACTGAGTCCGTCTATACTGGCGCTCCATATGAGACCACAGGAGAGCAACGATGGTCCCGACCAAGAGTGCGACGCAATACGCACGGTGCGAACAGTGCAGACTTTCTGGCGTCCGGTTCTCCCTATAGTTCAATGACAACCAATTCTTTGACCGAAGCGGATTGTTATCTATTGCCCTCCGGAGGATGTGACAAATGGTCTTCCCAACTGGTCGAGACCGATCAGTATGCCAGTAGTTCGATTGAACATAAGGTTCGAAGTGAGTCCGGAGAACAATATTCTTGGGTCGGGGTGGGGGTAGAGAAGTCATATTGTCACCAATGGTTTCGAACATTTAGGATTTTTCGGCGAAATGACCATTTATTAGATTCCTATCATCTATGAAAACATATGAGAGTCGGTAATATAAATAAGTTGGACTTTTTTATCATTTGGGGCTGCAAATCTGTGTAGTATATTGATGTGTTCCTATTCTTTAAGTTTACCGTATACGTGTTGAATCACTACCTACCCAATTACTATGAACACCATTGAAGTTGTATGTCTTGTAAAAGGCGTGGTTTTGTGCACGAAAAAACACTGGTTACTTGTTTTCCCGGTAGGGATAAATTCCTTTAAAGTTTTAAGAGTGAATACAGTCGAAAAACGTTAATCATTCACAAAACTTGCAAAACTGTTTTACTGTATGGGTTTAACATGGTTAATTACAGTAATAAACATTTTCTTTTCTTATATTGAACAGACAACTATACTCAAATTAAAGATGATATGTAAAGGCCGACTGAGATCACTGGACAGTTGTTTCATCCTTGTTGGGGCTCATTAGTGATGCCTATGAATGACAGTCATGTTTGACGATGAACACAGCTTAGATTTGTTCCAGTCAGGGAATGGGAACTTCGCACGGATAGATGAAAGTGAACGGGATGGTTTGAACTCTTCTGTAATCGAGATGGACCAAATCCTCATGAAAACCTACTACTCACACGCATCACAACTAACCGTGAAAAACACGGAGGTAAGAATGTCAAGACAAGTTACAATACCCACAGGAAGAGGGATGAAGAAGCTTCTCGATTTATTTTTACGAAAAGGTTGGAACCGGTTGAGAGGGGGGGGGAGGGGAGGGGAGTAAGGGGATTTAGAAAAAGCGTGGCTGAATAATCCGAACGAATGATCAACTAAAAGTGTCCACAGCAAATTTGTTCCCGGGAAGGCCATTGAATACGCTCCATAAAGACTTGCGAATGGTTACGGTGGAGGAGGGAATGTGATCTACTTATTCAATATAACTTTGTTTAAAATCAGAGAGTCACACTGATGAACAGGACAATGGTTGAGGGCGTTTAAACTTTTGGTGTCCTTAGTGGGTAGATAGGAAAAATAACAAACACAACTTTTTCGTCCAATAAGTTGTTTTCCTCCGTCCCTCCCCCTCAGGAAAAAAACATTGAAAAATTCCCATGTGTTTTGGTGAAGAATCAGTGTCTGGACTATGTCTGTTGGATTTGGACACAAATTGACGGAGGTCACGATAGACAATAACACAATAAACCAGTTTCGGTTTCATGTTTTTACCACCACTGATTATGCACCTTCGCGCACCGGTTTCGGTTGCTGTCTCTTGTCCACCCACTTGATTGGAGGAGTAAAGGGACGACGGAAATGTTCAAATCAGGTTCAGAGTTAAACTGGTAAATTCATTGAGTAGATACACGGGCCACACTGTTTACGACAGCCATATTATCACTCACAGCCTCCTATCATGGATTATGCTGAATGTGACTCACTGAATGAAAGTGTTTGAATAGAGTTGTATAAGCGCGTGTCTGAGAGATGAGAACGAGCGGGAGTCGGATAAAGGTCCCTCGTGATATAAGAAATGAAGCAAGCAACCAATGCCTGATGTCAACATTTCAATGAGGAGATCAGCGGAGGGTTTTTTTAAAGGGGACAAAACACACTATCAGGTTTTTTCATTACCAAAATATTCAAACGTTCTTTTATTTCTTATTCGGTTAATGGAGGAAAATAACTGTGACAAAATGACCGTGTCACCTCTGGAGGATGAATCAGCGCAAACCTGGGGATGAGAAAATCGACAAAGGTTAACTACGAATGGTGTACTTCATCGTCACAGTAGAATGATTTCGTGTTGCATATGAAAAACCCCATGGTCAAACTAACTCCGTTCAGGAAGAACAAATCATTCAATGAACCAGAACGAGTTGATTGTACAACCACTGAACAGATCCACTGGACAAATGCACGTTCGGTATTTCGATGACATGTTGGATCGACCAGTAATCGCGAACGCGTTAGAAAAGCGAACTAAAGAGATGATCCGATGTCGGTTACACAATGTGCACCAGTCTGATTTGAAATCTCATTTCAGACTGGCAGTTTCCATCACTCAGAACATGCGCTGACAAAGCTGATAATTAATGTATTCTGTCGATTGTACGTACTCCCCTGTTTGACTGGAATTCAGAGTTGATTTGGGGACAATGTGACTGCCTCACATGGTTTTCTTATCTCATGAGTTATTGCGCAACTATACTGCCCATTACTATTTACGAGTAGATTCTAATGGCTGCTGATTGGCAGCTATTTCCTGGTCATGCCACTTCGTGCGTTGTTTCTCGCTGTTGTATACAATGGATTAAGCTATTCATCTAAAGAATCAACACGTGTGAGGCTCTGTTAAGCAAAATGGTTTACGAAACTGTGGTTACTTTCTTCTGCAGCTACGATTCAGTGTTAAGAACCCCAGTTGGGAATCGAAATCCCCATTTCATATATTTTCAAGCTAGCCATGTGGACTTGAATCACCTCAGCCGATAAATTGAACAAACCAGTGTTTAGCTAGTGTGCGTTTGAATAAAGAAGGTAAAACGAAATTTGGTGTGAATGATGCGTGCTAATCTAGTCGGAATCCGATATGTCCTTCATTTTCCCAATTGGGGTTTTGCATGGTGATTGTGTACCTAAGATGATGGAACACCTCACGGTGTGCTTCAATGTGTAATAGGTAGATAGGTGTGTGTGTACCCGCGTGCGTGCGTGCGCCACGTTAGGGCTACTCTTGGCCAACAGAGGGAATTCTCTGAATGGTTGATGTACGATGGGACAGATGATGATCAGTTTTACTCCAGTTTGATTTATGCATATGTTGTTCCTTTCACGGAGGTACATACACGCACACGCGCTCGCGCACAACTGGGTACGTTAGCAAACACAAGCACAAATTTGCGGTTGCGTTACTAAGGCGCGGAAAAACCCTCGTCTAATCAGACCTAGGTTAATCTAGTATCCGCTTTCAATCTCTTTCCCATCCAGTAAAGAAGCCATCAAATTACTGCACTGGAAAGACTCCCAAACCCGTAGGGTACGTTTCACCCCATAAAGAAGAACAATCTGGCAATTTATGGCACAATGATACCAGTAAAATTTCCTCGTTTTCAAGGTGTTCCGTGCGCTGAGGAATTTGGCGCCAAGGTGGCACATACTAGATCTATCTGATCGAATGAATCGTGTAGGCTACCGCAGCCTGATACATCGGGCAATCTGATTGGTTTCCACCAAAGCGAAGCGATTTTTCAGAATTGTTTGAGGAACTGAATCTGATAGGATATCTATCAAAGGGTGTGTGTGGGTGTGGATACAAACGGACTGGCTCGTGAATGCGAATACCACCTGCCCGCCTCCCCCNCCCTCTCCACATCCACGCACACAAATACGAGAGAAAACCTGGAACACACAGAGACGCTTATTTACAGCGATCTCAACCTGGACACCCCAATCGTGATTTGTGAATTTATTTGCTCAGTCTGTGATGCGAATGCGGAACTCGTCCGTCCGTCCCTCTGCCTTGTGAAAGACATTCGCATCGAATTCAGTCATCGCAGAATATCCGCGGTGTGGCTGGTCACCCGAAAATGAATGATGATCAGTTTCCATGACCAGCGCACTCTGTGATTCATTGGGACTGAGTTTACCGTTTATTTATGATACGGTGAACCTAAATTCGACCTCAGTAAAGCGCCGCTTCGGTTGGGCAAAACTTCCGTTTATAAGGTATTTATTATTTGGAGAATCGTATTTGTGGATGCTCCTAATTCAGTTTCCATTGAAAATTAACCGAAAGAGAAAAATGCCCCTGTTTTAACGAGCGAATGATAGTGTGGGTTGGAGTCCGTGTACATGTATTCGAAAGTCATCAGTATCAGGTGTTCTTGGAATGAGTGATTACACAAATCGCTCTGTCAACAAAAGCCTGACAATTAGGCGCTAATTAGACTATTTATACTGTTATCATGCGGGAAAACCTCTATTTAACAGGCAGCTCAGTAACTTAAAAAAATGACATTGAAAAACCAAATGCTGTATATAGTCATTCTTCCCCCGATACAAATCCCAGTAATACGGACTCGAGTTCTCTAAACATCCCATCTTCGTTTGATCTCATCAATTCCAATGAAATGCACAAACATGTGTTCTCAAAGTGTCGAACGTGTCTGGTTCAGACAACTTAAATCCTACCCTCCTTAAACACGGTGCTCTGCCACTGTCTCACATTTTTGCACACATAGCTAATCTTTCACTCTAAGTATTCCGGATTGCTGGGCCAGGTGAGAATTACGCTCATCCCCAAAGGAACGTCAAAGGCCCCTATAGGGAAGCGTTTCACGCTAAAGTGATGGAGCGATCAGTTCTGCATCACCTTTAGTAAGCTCTTACCACTCCCGATGACATTTATCAGTTTGCATATGAACATAGCCGCTCTACATTGGATGCCGTTTCTTCTGTGGTTCACTTCATCTGTAAGCCCCTTAAAGAGAGCCAAACATGTTCATAGTGCATTTCTTGACTATTCTTCCGCTTTTGACTCGGTGCCCCGTTCTCTTTTACTTAACAAGCTTCAATCGTTTGGTTTTCCCACTTCTCTTCTTAAATGGCTTGGTGATTACTTTTCACAAAGATATCAGTATGTTAAATTGGGAAGAAGATAGTCAACAACATCATTTCAAGGTGCCATCTTATCACCCTATCTTTTTGCTACTTATACTAGTGACTTACCTATTACTCCCTCTGTACATTTTAAGTATGCTGATGATATCGCCATATCTCTTTCCGTATTCAACCAATAGAACGGGCTGAATATAAAAAAAACTTATCCCACCTCGTTAAGTATTCCAATTTATCCGGTCTTAATATTCATCTCCAAAAATGCATTGAATGTATCTTTACTTTATTCCGTTCCTTATCTCCTTCGAACAATGTACAGACTCAGGGAAAGCGGAGGAGGGGGGTCGACCATTTGGAGTACTTATTTGTCACAATTGAAAGTAACATTCGCTAGTCTTCAGATAGATAAACTGTTCCTCGCAAACTGAAAGTTCTCTCCCTTCAGATAAGAGGACTACGCCACTTCTGTTCTGATTTATCAGAACAACAACAACAACTTTTTTCCAACAATGTGTTCTTCTTATATCCCTTTACTGCTCTCCTGTCATTGTCCCTGGTTTTCTGAAGGTTGATTTCAAGTTGCTGAGGCGTGGCCACCCAGTGATCAACCATAATTCCCAAGTTCAAAAAACGTCTTTTTACTTCCATTTTATTTATTGAATATACAAATGTACGGTCAACTTACAGGAAGGGGGCTGCGGCCATACAAAGGTTGCCTGAGGAAATACAGAAATAGGAAAGACGGGTGATGGTGTAGCGTTTTGAACCAGGGACTTCCGGGTCGCAACTTGTTGACCTAACCCCTTTGGCCTCCATGGCCCTGTTCTGATTGACTATGTACGTGAGGCCTATATTGATGACTGCTTGAATTTTGCTGACAATAGTCTGTCAGATATACCCATCCTTTACACATTGACCCGTGTGCATGCTATTCCCACGCCTACACCCGTTCCAAATTCAAACCCATTCCTTCTCGGATATCTGCATACAAAGCTCTTTGGTATCCTACCTCGCCCGGATACTGACCGACTGGAAAGTGTTCGTTCTCATGTACTTTGTAGTTAATTCATATTTTTGCACGGTTGACAAACTATCCCCCCTCCATCTTTTACCAGTATGGCGACGGTGGTCTATTTTTGGCTGAAAGCTTGTACATAACTGGCTACAGATTCAATACAATACAATATAATGTCTAAAAGTCATAATAAAGTGATCAAATCATGCTGGTCACAAGTCAATCATAATGCCACCCTCCCCCCTTCTCCGCATGAAATGTACTATCATGTGACAGTTTAAGTCGTCACATTTGGTTTTTACAAAACATAAAACTGAAGTGACTGTGATTAGACCCGTGTGCCTAGGATTCGAATGAAGGGAATGATATATCATCATCTATTAGGACAGAACAGTATTAGGGAATATCGGATGAAGCGCCTTCATAAAAGCGGCTTCATAAATGGTGCACTTTGAAACTCCTTATCGGGCAACGGACTGAGATATCGACGCAGAAAGAAAAATCTATTCTAACAATATCTCACATGAAAATCAGTCTTAGCTAGACTGTACGGCCGTATTATTATGATTCGGTTTGCTTCAAGGACGAGATTTAGTTCGGCTGTGTTCCAATGTTTGACGGACAGGCTAAGGCGGTGTTCTAACAAATTACTCCCATCATCAACGTTCAGCACTTCGGTACGGATATCTGTTACTCTACCTTCCGACGTGCAGTGCTGTACTTGTTAAGAACAAGTACTGTTGGTGTCACCTCGGCTGGTAACGAAACGTTTGTAAACAAATTGCCAAGCTCGGCGAACAGGCGAAATGGAGTGCAATACTTTTTCACGAACGAGCTCTAGTAACCACTGTCCTTGAAAGTGTTATTCACTTTTATCATTTCGTCTGCGAGGTTTTCAGGCGTACAAGGTTTTCTCTCACGGTCACAAAGTGTCCTGACTAGTGCTTGTTTGCAACGGATTGCGACGAAGCTGAGGAAATGCAAATATTGATCCACTCACGTGTGCTTTCGTTGGAGAGATCGACCAAGGCTTCCGTTGGTCCTCCGTTGCATTCTTACATCCAGGAAGGCATCATTTACTGCATGGTCCATCGTCAAGTTTATAGACGAGAGAAAGAGTAATTTAGGCCTTGGCATAAATCCAACTCCTCCGCCGTTAAATCTGCTATGAGCAACAAGTCGTCCACGTACCATTATTATAGAATATTTCTGGTAAGGTTATCGCTGATTTTCCGCTTCAGGCTCGTCATAAATATATTCCATGGTTATGCCGTCAACTTGGCGGAATTATCTTCCTTGAAAATTGAGGCCAATGTTCCCGGCAAAATTAACCGTGTCAATTTTGATAAGGGGATTGGAAGTCTCATTTTCTTCTGCTGTACGATGTCAGTAATATATCGCGCAGTTTCTTTCAGAGGCACGCTGGTAAACAACAATGCCACATTCATGATAAACATGTGTTTGCGCTTCACATTGATCGGGATTATAAGTTGTACTAACTGGAAGCTGTCCCTTAGAGTGTGAGCACATAGTTTGTCGGTAAACAGATTCAATTTTTTCATTAACCATTTCGCTAGCTGATATTGGGGAGAAAGCGTCATTGATTAGTTAGGTCTCAATGGTACCTGGGGTTTACGTGACTTCGGAAGATCGGAAAATTGCGGTGTCTGCGATCCCCGACTCACTCAGGAATCCGTCTTCTACTATTGTTTGAATCACGTGTGCAACAGCTTTTCCACATTCCCGAAATTTCGTGTCGTCTGCAGGATATTTTCCATTTTTGGAGATGCAATCACATCTGACCATCATAACTATACCTGATCCTTTATCCGGTTGCAACAGTGGTGGTGGCGCAGCGATTTAGTCGCTGTCACCGGCGTGCTTTGGACCCTGTGGTTCGAGGTTCGAGCCCAGCCACCGCCACCCGACTTTGGTGGTAGGCAGCTCTGCTGTCGTCCGGTTCAATGCCACGCCTAACCTATCGGGGCCTTATGTGGTTCGCCACTCCAAGTTCCGGGGCTTAGGTTTCCGGTTTCCACCGGTGAATATGGGGTTCGCCCCGTCTACTGTTCACAAGTGGGTGTGTAATAAAAAAATCACATTTTCGTTCATTCTGATTTCGTGAAGTGACTCTATGTGGCTCCTAGTCAGTTATTGTCATTATTCAAATAATCTATTAACCTATTTCAGTTACACGATGAAACAGGCATAATGTTGTCTATAGTATGACCAGAATGGCAGGGGGATTGATCGGAACGATCTGGAATGAAAGGGGCCGGTCACGTTCATCAAGCTATTGGTTGAAAGTTTCACTGAAAGGATCGGTGAAACAGTTGGGGCCAACATTTTGTTCAGAATAAGCACAAGTGTACTGGAAACTTCCACTCCAACAAGTTATCGATTATCAATTATTCTGGACCACTGTGATGTGAACTAGCTGTATGCTGTATGCTGTTGACATGATATTGTGGTGTACACTTCCAAGGTCAAGGGAGGGGGGTATTTCGTTGACTTTTAAACAGACCTGCACGATCACTTCAGAGCACCGTGTGGACGAAAATTCAGGGACGAATAACCAATTGCGGTATAACATGTACGAAAGAGTGAGCGCATAGTTTTTCTCAAACGAGAAAACTGTGTCGATGAGAAGCGAACAGGTTTTATTCCGGAACAGCGAACAAGTGTGAAATGATGCGGATAGGATGGAAGAGCTTGAACAAAGAGGGAATCAAATAATGGTGATGCTTGGTGATAATTTGCTCACCAGGATTATCACCGCGGGGGTTCATAATCCACGATCACTATTTAACTTGCATTGTAATCAAATTTCTTGAAGTAATCTGGTGATGTGAACAAATAGAGCTGCTAGGATTGTGTGGATCATTATGATTTGCTCTATGATAGTTGCAGATTGGATGTTTCTGTGCAGGGCTAGTGGATTTCCGAAGTTTACAGGTTAATTTCGTTAATAAACTTTCTCTCACTTTATGTCTATCCGATATGATAGGAGGAAGAGGAGGGGAGGGGCGAGGGACTACACAAATACACATGAAAAGATGATATGGGATTAGCGTGGATGAAACAGTTTACGCTTGGCAAAACGATTGAACTTCAAATACAATTCTGAGGTGAGACTTGGCAAACGAATGATTTATTCGTGTGGACAGACTTCATTTCCAAATTCCCATAATCTGCCCCTCTCACACATGGAATGAAATAGCAATGGGGAAGTCCTTTTTGTTGTTCATTTATGCCTCAGTCTGACATTGAGTAAAGCTTCCACGATTATTCATCTCTGAGTATAATCGAATTTCACACGTTTCTCGACTCCATGGACTTTAGTTAAGCGATTCACGGAAGTCCAGCTTGATCCCAAGATGTGTGGGATCAGAAAGTGAGTCTATTGGTCCACGAGTTTGCTAAGAATAGACGGGTTATTTTAAAACCGATCCGAACTCAGTTGACATCCTCGCACATGTTGGACGAACTCCACCCCTCCCGGAACAATAATACGTATGGTAACCGCTGTTGAAATGCCCACTAGCGTATATGTACCAATTCACGCCAGCTTGTCGGGCAATGATTCGCCACTCTCCTCCCCTGTATGGTGCATCAAAGTGCAACTTACATTGGTCTCTATCCATGTAAGATTAATCTGCTCATTTTTCCCTTGTGTTTCCTGTGTGACGGAGTTCAGTTTATTTGATTTGTAGTTCACTTCCATTCGCGCTCAATGGAACACATATTCAAACGGCGCACATTGTCCGACTGATTCCTCATCGTTCACAGTTAATCCATCCCCTCGATTTTGACCCAGTTTGCAACACACTACCCGCTAATTAACCAATTATGCGGTCTGTCACTCGCGTTGATTCCAAGTTCCTCCTCGTGGAAAAATGAGGCTCCCATAGCGCGTTCTGTCGCTAATTTGCGTGTGCATCACAATCGAAAAAAAACACAAGCTGATTTTCAACAGAATTCAGCCGGTGAATGATGCTGCGTGTATTCCTTTTCCCTGTTCTTAATCACCATCACCATCATCATCATCATCATCAACATCATCATCATCATCATTATCATTATCATCTGGAGCAGCAGCACCAACGGCAACAGCACGATCATCAAAGGTAACATCATGAAAAAATAATATCACCATAATCTCATCATTTCGGTTTAACCAAATACGAACATTCAGTGTCTGTTCTGTCAATGATGGCACGTGCTCCGTTTGTGGTAATTTGCCTGTTAAGTGCCAGCTGTTTTCAAGTTTGCGGCAGAGATGGAGCGAGGGATAAGTTATGTTTCGTTTCTTAATATTTCTACCAAACGTACTGCGAAATTCCCTTTCATCATCATTGTTCTGCGGGTAAACTTGTTTCATCTCTCTCTCTCTGAGGCATTTATGGTTGTCTAAAGATGTTGTTAAACCAGACAAATTGACATTAGATTAGTCTATGAAATCCCAAATTTACTTGCGTCAGTTGACGGGGGAGTATGCACTTCTGAGTAAGGGAGTTATGGTCTAGACGCTTTGTGGCATCACTGACAAGCGGATCGCAAAGTGCACGTCAAGAAATCAATTCCGGAAGTCACTCCTCGGGAACCGGGACCAGGCGCTGTTTTTGACGGGACT